GACATCATTTCCATAATAATAAAAGGGCGGAAGTCATTGCAAGTCAGAGCATAGTACAGTTAGATTTGTGTTTAGATGGGTTTTTGGTGTAAGCCAGTGTATAAAAAGAACTACTTGGACATTTAATTTGGTTTAAACAATTAGTGTTCAATTTATTAAGATTACAAATTCAAAATCTTGGTTCTTCCTTAGGCTTTATGTTCATCTCACAAATCTTACCCTGCTTAGGTGTCTAGCAAAATTGAACAGTCACTTTCAAGGGACTTGATTAATGTTTGGTTTGATCCTTTTTGCCAACTTAACTTACCATTTTAAACTGCATTTGTGTGTAATTGTATAAATGTATAAGTGTAATACATTCTATTTCCTTTGTAAGTACCTAATTTATCTGCTTATGTAAAACCGTGTTGAGTACTTAATAATGGTTATAAAGCCATTGAATTAAATTTATAGACCCCTTAGATGTTGCAAAAGTATGCACAAACTTAGAAAGATTTCAACTTTTTAAAAATTGTCACCCTAATAGATCAGATTCCTTAAATATTAGTAGTATAGAAAAGACCAATTATGCATAAAAATATTAATAGGATATTCTTTCTATATTTAATTCTTAAATCTTCATAGAGTTAAATGATGCATACTCACCAAGGAAGAAAATTACTTGGAAATAACTGAGGCCATTTTTAATCAGATCTTTTGATGGAGCTACAGGCTCCAGAACAATTTACATCCTCCCAACCATCATACTGAGCCCCTTTTTAGAGTAGCTTTGTCACGAGTTACAAAACTTAGCAAGGGTTTGGTCTCATAGGTCCAATTGCCTACATCCTGGGATGCAAGTTATACTTAGTACCTGATTCTCAATCTGCTCAAGCAGATAGGATCAGGACAACTAGGTTGATCTTTGATCTTTAAGATAGGTACGTATATTTTCCATCTAAATGTTAAAGACCTTTGAATTTGATAGAATACTACGATTTGTAAATTTGTTTCTATCTAATGATACCTTTAAACTTGCTAGCCTAAAATAAATAAATGGGTTGGATGCCATGGCTTATACCTGTAATCCTAGCACTTTGGGAGGCTGAGGTGGAAGGATGGCTTCAAGTCAGGAGTTCAAGACCAGCTTGAGCAAGAACGAGGCCCCATCTCTACAATAAAATAGAAAAATTAGCCAGGTATGGTGGTACATGCCTGTAGTGTCACCTACTCAGGAGGCTGAGACAGAAGGATCTCTGGAGCCCGGGAGTTTGAGTTTTCAGTAAGCTGTGATGACACCACTGTACTCTAGCTCAGGTGACAGAGCAAGAGTCTGTTTCAAAATAAATAAATAAAAATACATAAATAAAATAAATGAATGTATTTTATATTTAATGATAGAGACCTTTAAATGGAATGCTAGATATGTAAATATCTTTTCTATTTAAAGAAATTTGAATATGATAGAATCCTGCATTCTTTCACATTCTTAGAAGCACACAGTGTTTAAATGATCCCCAGTTGAGCTTTGGATATCCCTGTTGACCAAGCCAAGTCTGATTAGCTGTTAACATATGAGTTCATTCTTCTGAGCGTTTATGAGGAATAGACAGGGAGTTGAGAGAGCTCTCATCTGATGGCTTCTGTTTTCTCTGTGAATTAGCATGTAAGTTGTCTGTTAAAAATGGTTGGAGTTACAAGGGGGAGAGTGAGAAAAAAGCTTTAAAATAACTATATTTGATAATGGGAGATTTGAGATCTATGCTGCCTATTTTATAGTCTCCTAAGTATGTGGCATTAAGGCCATTTAAAGTGGAGCCAATATACATGATGAGATATTTGTAATTCATGTTTAACATTTAGTTGATGTTTTTATATTACATGTGTATATTTAGTCATTAGAGTATTTGCCATTGATAACAAATATTCTTTGTAGCTAATGAAGAAGTTACAGTTCAATGTCAAAGGACTTTATTAATAAAGCAATTGAAGTAGTCACTTATTATACAGCAAAAAGTTCTAGATTCATTTAACATTTATTTCCATTTGCTAGTCAATTACCAGCTGTCAGAGCATAATAAATATTGTAAATCTGAGTCAGAAGCTGTCACCCATAACTGTATTAACTGTTCCTAATCATAGGTAGTGATTTGTCTTCTAAAATAGTGATATTAATCACCACCTTCCATCTGTCTTCATAGTGGTATAAAATTGCCACTGGGTTCCATTGCTGAAGTAAGTAAATCAGTGTAGACACCAAAAATGAAAGCAGACAGTCGTGAGTCATGAGTATTTCCATTCGTGTTAACAAAAGAAAGAAAATAATGAGAGCCAACTTTCAAAGCTTTTTGCTTCTGAGTCTTAAAAGTATAGTTTCTTCTTATTATTACTAGCTAACATTTATGGAGTATCTATTATATACCAGACACTATGTTTACAACTTTATATAAATTTTTTTTTCAAACTTCACAATAACCCTCTGAGATTATTGGTTCTTACATTACAACAGTTCTTCTTGTAATGAGGAAATGAAGCTTAAAAGAACTTGAGTACTTTATTGTCCAAAATGGCAAAGCCTGGAGTCAAATCCAAGCAATTTAATTCCATAACCTTTTCTCTTGAGTAGAACTCTGCATTTTCACTTTACTAGGTGAATCTGTTAGGAATGCTTTTAGGTAGAAATAACAAAAATCTAACATGTAGTAGTTTACAAACACATTTTTTTTCTCACTTAATAGAAGAGTGGAGAGAGGCAGCTGGCCATGCTGGTTTAGTAGCTCCGCAGAGCCGGGACCAGTGACTCTGTCATTCCCTGGCCTTTCCCTCCCAGCAGAGAAATGATTACTTAAGCCATAACCATGTAATTTATCAGGAAAGCAAAAACTTTCCCATTTGTATATCTTAGGGGTCCCCAACCTATGGTGAGTTGTATAATTATTTTGTTATGTATTAAAATACATAATGTACATAAATAAAGTACACAATTGCCGGAGCCAGCCGGCGGCACCTGGAGTTAGGGGGCGAGGCTGAGAAATGAAGAAACAACAAAAAGATGGGGACGGGAGGACGGAGTCCTTGGTGACTGCCGCGCCTCATTTATTTCAGTTGCTATATTTATACAGATAAGAACAAAGGAGAAGCAAAATGCAAAGGAACAGGTGGTACATGTCTTCATTAAACCAGAAACCAAAACAGTTCTTGTTTTTTCTCAACCATGTGTCACTTTGATAGCCCCTTTCCTTGCTTAAGAAGTTTTCTAATCTACAACTTAACTTTCTTCTGATATCAAAAAAGCTACAAATACTCAACTATGATCACTCAGACAGTTCAAGGAAAAGAGCACCCAAGCGTAATTAACAATTCTGGGAAAGGAGTGTGCAGGGCTTCCGGGTGGGGGAGGGGGTATAAGCACAGGATTACTTCAGTGACCTTCTATAATTGCTGCTGCTATCTCCAGCACCCTCTGTGAGCTGGAAGAAAGGCCAAGAATGTCAGAGCTCTGAGTTAAGGCGCCAGGTGCTGTGTCTCAAGGACCCCAGTGTTCCGGGCGGCAACCGCACTTTAACTCTCCCGTGTTCGGGACAGCTCCCAATACACAATAAATGTAATGTGCTTGAATCATCCTGAAACCATCTCCCCCACCCCCAGCCATCTGTGGAAAAATTGTCTTCTGTGAAAATGGTCCCTAATGCCAAAAAGGTTGGGGATCACTGAATTGGTCGAAAACTGTTTCTCACGGCCACCCTGTCTGCAAGGGTGGAAGACTGCAAGGGAGAAAGGAGGAGGGGCCCGCTGTGGGTAGGACATTGCAAAATCTATAAGCTCTATAGGAATTTTCCACTTCCTCCTTAACTCCTTCTTTTTCTTTGTCTTTTTTTGAATGAAAGAGCTATGATTCTTCATATAGTTAACTCCTAATGTATTTATACTTGCCTTGTTTTCTAGAATATGTTCCCAGATAGAAGCGGAAAGCTGTAGTTTCATTGATTGAGTCAGAACTCGTTGGTTGCAAGTAACAGAGATGAATACATATCTAACTGAGAAAATGGATGCATTTCAGTCATTTATTCAACAGACATTTATGAAGCACTTGTTATATTATGGGCACTGTTATAGGCTCTGGGGATATATCAGTGACCAAAACATTGGGAAAAAAAAAAAGAGTGAGCAAAAACATGAGGGAATCTCACAGACTCCAAAGACAGAATACAGGAAGGCCTTGGGCGTGGGCAGAAACCAGGGGCTGAGAAGCCATCAGAAATCCAGCTGGCTCCCCTGACCTGTCTCCTCCATTCTGCACACTCGCTTTCTCTTAATATTTATTCTGCATAGTCACCCACATAGCCTAAGTTTTCATCTTCCATTCAGGCAGCTCACACTGAACCACAGTCTCTCAGTCCCAATTTAAAAGCCTGGGCAGAAGAATTTGCATCCACTGAGGCCAGGGACAGTCTTCCCCAGGTGTTACAGGGGTCACTGAGAGTGGAGCAGACTCCTCGAATCAAAGGTGTCTAGGGCACAGAGCTTCCTGTGCTCTGTTTGTGGTTGCTTTTCTGGACATCATCCACACCAAGGCTCCCGCCTGCCACCCCAGAGGTTTGAACATTAACTCCACCTTGAAGAGCACATTTGTTTAGCTCTGTAAGAATTGCCTGGGTCCAGGCTATCTTGAACTTTTTCAAATCACTCTTGTGCCCTAATGTGTGTATCTTTTCCCTCAGGCAGCCCCTGTCCCTGTCATGCATGTAAATAGAGAATTGAAGCTCAGTCAACATCAAACTCCATTCTCACTTCAAACCAAGCCTTCAGAAGGCAACACCACTACTAATCAGTTTGCTTCCAAAGTACACATTGCAGTGTGGGTTGGCATGTTCCTTTATGACCCTTATAAACTAGAAGCCAGTGAGATGTGATTGTGGGTGATTTTTTTTTTAAGCCTTCTCTTTGTTTCAAATCGGTAGGTGCTTTTCCATTTAGGGATGAACTGAATTGCTGACCTGTGGCTGATGTGTTTTCTACAGGCTGTGGACTCCCCACCGAGTGGAGGAGGATGGGCAGGCTGGGGCTCCTGGGGCAAGTCTCTGCTCTCCTCTGCTACGGCCACAGTAGGTAAGTGTCTCATGTTGTGCTGGAATAGACTAAATCCCCAAGCCTACTGGGGTGGGTGTTTTGATTATACCATACTCCAATAGAGTTTAACATTGGCACATAAGCAAACCATTTTTAGTGCTTACTGTTCTAAGTGCTTCATTTATTCCTCAAATACAGTTATTCCTCCAGATAACCCTGTAAGGAGGTACTCACATTTTCTCCATGTTACAGGTATGCAAGCTGAATCACAGACTAAGACGTTGACCAAAGTCAGGAATGTCTGGGTTGGGATTTGAAAACCAAATAGTATGGCTTTTAACCACTGTTTTATATTGTCTTTTAGCATATAAGATTTGGGCTTTTATAACATGTTCTTAAAGCTTTGTGTTTATCATTAAAATTGATCTTTTCTTTTCATGTACAACTCACCTACTCCCTGAAAGGATTTGAGGTAGCTTGACAAAAGTCATTTCATCCACAGGACATTAAAATATAAACAGGAAAAATATGCAGGGAGGAGGGACATAGTTTATATACACACATATAAAACATATATAATATATATGGCTATTAAATATGAAATGTCTGATTTCCTTAAGTACTAAATGTGACAGTTTATTTCTCTGATATTTCACTCTGACACCTCTTATTTTATTTTTATTATGAAGGAACATCCTCAATTTCCTCAGTCTTTCAAATGCATGTTTTGGCTTGTGATTATCTTTCAAATTTTTTTAAGAGCCATTTTTGTGAAATCATGGATAAGTCAAAAATTCAGGTTATTTTCAACTATGAGCTCCATTATGGAACTAATGCAGTACAGACAGCTCAAAATATCAATTATCAAATCCTTCCAAGTATTTGGAAGGATGTGGCCAGTGAACACACAGTACAACAATAGTTTGAGAAGTTCTGTTCTAGTGATTTTAATCTTGAAAATGAACCATGTGGGTGACCTGAAACTAAGGTGGATAACAATGAGCTGAAAGCTGTAGTGGAAGCGAATTCATCTCAACCTACGTGTGAATTAGCAGCAAGATTTGATGTTAGTATTCCATGAATAAAACGAGTATCAGAAGAGAAATCGTCCCAATGCTTGGCTTTCTTTGCTGTCACGATGTAAAGGTAAACCATTTCTATACCGTATTGTTACGTGTGATAAAAAAATGGATTCTTTTTAACAATAAGCATTAGGCACAGTGGTTGGATAAAGATGAAATACCAAGACACAGTCCAAAACAAATATTCATCTAAAAAAGCTTTTGGTGTCTGTCTGGTCCAGCATTGGTATGATCCACTACAGCTTCATGAAACCTAGTCAATCCGTTACAGGAAATGTCTACTGCAACCAATTGGATGAAGTGATGAGGATGCTTGTGATTAAGCAACCAAGACTGGTGAATAGGGACAGGCCAGTCCTCTTGCAAGACAACACTCCACCACATGTCGCACAAACAACGCTGCTCAAACTACAGCAGCTGGAATTGGAAACTCTCTGTCATCCACTGTATTGACCAGACCTTGCACCAACTGACTGTCATTTCTTCCAGGCTTTGGACCACTTCTTGCAAGGAAAAATATTCAATTCTCAACAAGCTGTGGAAAGCACCTTTCACGATTTCATTGCCACTCACTCTCCAGGCTTCTTCACTGCTGGTATAAACAAGCTACTGTTAAAATGCCAAAACTGTGTCAATAGTTTAGGTGCATACTTTGATTAATTGTACTGCTTTTTTGAGATATAAGAAACTATACTTTTGATTCAAAATCGGACATTTCATATTTTGTGACCATAAATATATGTATGTATTATACGTATTAATGTATCTCCCAAGGCTAATAGAGTTGTGCTTGAGCATTGACCTTAACCCTGAGCTTCTTGGCTGCCGGTACATTATTTATTGTCATTGAATAATAAAACAAAATTTAATTATCTAAATAAGTGTATTTTCCAGGTTTTAAATTTTTAAAGAAATTTTCTGTATTTGTTCCTATACAAAGAGTATACTGGACAGTGTCTTCATCAGTGTAAATTTGTTAAGGTATTCATGTTGCCATTTCCTATGTCTACTCCTCATGGAAACTGACGGCAGAACACCAACATGTCTAGGAGAACCCAGCAAAGGCATCTCCTCCTGAAAGTGGAGGGTCTTGCTGCTGGCAGCACTTAGGAGGAGCACGCCTCTGAACCAAACACTCAAAATGGGGACTTGAAAATATTTTTTAAATTGGAGCAAGTCATGGAAAAATAAATAATATGGTCACCAAAATTATACAGCTTTCATGGTTTATATCATAAAACAATAAAGTGTCCTGATGCTGCCGTTATAATGGTGTCCCAAACCACTCTGGTTTATAGTGAATTGGATGCTTTAGAAGGCTCTATTATAGATATTTACTTTTTCATTAAAATTTTAAATGTAGGTTTCTTTCATAGTAGACACAGAAACCATCTGCCCTGTGGGCAGCACTTGCAAGTGCTTTTTGTTCACACTTAAAGGTGCACCTGCTTGTAACTGCTCCACCGCCGGTTTGTCAGACCGTTTGCTGTTGCTTCTCATTGGTCAGTGGCTGCAGCTTGTCATTTGACTTTGGCTTTGCTAGATCCTCACAAGGTTTTCCATCTGCCAGCTGACAGCTTTCTGTCGAGTTTGCTTTCCAGCATCTTCTTAGGTGTCTTGTTGTGATCTGCCCTCGCACACGTGCTGCCGGGCTCCGGTGCACTGTGCTCCAAGGCCTCTGGGTTTTGATGTCTTGATCAGATAGAGCCAGTAGATGGTGCTGACTGTCCTGCTTGAAAAGCAGGGTGTTATTTCCATGGCAGGTCCCGTTGGGCTTGATCTGAAGTCAATGCTTGTGTTTGGAGTTGCTCTTTAAATTTCCCTGTGTCTGAGGCACCGTGCAGATGATAAATTGCATCTTGTTACCTTCCCAACAACTTAAAAATTCTGGTGGTTCTCACCTGGCTCTGTGTAGTAATTGATCCAGAAGAGCCTAAAGAGGTAACTGCCTGTGAAGTAATGTGATCATTGTGCCAGTCACTTGCCACATTCCCTCCTATTGTTGGTAAAGATGTGGTTTCTCTGAGATCACATGACATTTGCACATTGCCCCACGCAATATCAGAGTGAAGTTCAGTATATCCTCTTGTATTAGTTTCTGTTGCTGTGTAAGAAATAACCACAAATTTAGAGGCTTAAAAGAGCATACATTTATTATTAGACAGTTTCCGTGGGTCAGGAGCCCAGGTACGGGGTAGCTGCCCGGCATCTTACCAGGCTGAAGGCACAGTGCCAGCCAGCTGCGCTCTCGTGGGAGGCTCGCCTTTGCCTGAGGCAGGTGGCAGCTATAAGTGGGCAGGCGGGTGGTGCAGCTAGGAGGGGCCCAGGAAGAGGAGGCCAGTGGCTCTGCCTGCTCAGCTGTAACCGCTGCATTGAAGGAGTCATCTTTCAAGGCCATGCAGGTTGTTGGCAGAATTCAGTTCCTTGCGATGGTAAGGCAAGGTCCCCATTCTCTTCCTGCTTATTGGCCAGGGGTCACTCCCAGCTCCAAGAGGCTGCCCTCTAGATAAGCATCTTTGTGGACCTTATACAGAACTAAATCATGTAGCATAAGAAGAGGCCAAAGTCATGGGTTCCAAGGCCAGAAACAAGAAGTAGTGGCTGGGAATTTGATTCCCAAAAGGTAATAGGATCGCAGTTATCCCACACATGGGGAGATGCTGTAGCCAGTCCCATAGCCTGAAGCAGAGGTTGGAATGGAGCTCAACCATCTGTACACACAGGCTTTAAGAAGTTGGCGATGCCTTCCTAGACTGGGTCTGTACTGAGCTGCTATCTTGGGATTGAGAGAGGCAAGCTAGACACAGATGCCATTATGTACAGGCATAATATCAACCCCAGGGCTTTGCAGCATTAACAGTTTGTTATCATTGGGCAAAGAAACTTATTGGAAAACAGATCACTCACAGCAATAGACAAGCTCATGAAGATTTACAAATTGCCTGTGGAAAGTAAAGAAAGAAACTAACCACATGTTCAGTTGCAATTGATTTCTACTCAGAAAGCTCATGCTACCCCCACGGTAATTCCAGTTGCAGACAGGAGTGTGAAACACACAGTCCTTAACAAAACACAAAGCTGTCAGTTGAGCACTAGAAATAGAAACCAATACTTCTAACAGTTGTTGAAAAACTGCAGTTAGATTAGTTAGAACTGTTTAGAGTTGGCAGGAGAGTAATTGGAGAATAGAAACATTTGGAAGGTGGTATTCTTGGGAATGAGCACTGTACCATAAGTCATAAGACCCGAGGCCAGGTCCTGAATACTACTAACCTTGTCATCACAAGAGACTGTCACCAACTAGCTACACCATGCACTTAACCTCTGTGAGACTCAGGTTCTTTATATGGAAAAATGTGGGTAGGGGAACTTGGGAAATTCTAAGGTCTTTTCCAACTTCCGGAATATGATGATTCCATGATTCCATGTGGCTATGTTAGAAGGAGAAAGATATTTGTAACCTCTGTGCTGAGTGGAAAAATACAGAAAATTGATTGACATTTAGCTGCTCTTTATTTTTATAGTTTATCTTTTGCCTCGCTGCTTTGACCCTAAGGTTAAGGGAAAGTGAGAAAAAGTGACCTACTCAATGCATGCAAGAAATCAAACATTTCCAGTCTGCAATTCTTTTCCGAGAGGCCTTAACTTTTGCATTAGGCTCACCCACAGCCGCACCATCACCACCTTCTAAGACTTGATCATCTGCCACTCGTGCCTTTAGACAAGCTCATAAAATACAATAAAAATGCTTACTTTTTCTAGACAAAAACCACAGTGGGAAATATTTTAAAAATGTAACAAAAAAAGGAATTTTGATGGTAATTTCTAAGTGATGTGAGAACCAGCTGATTTCCCACAAGTATCTTATACTCTCCACTTACTTCTAAAATATATTGCTAAGCTGAGAGTGATAAACCAATAATGAAAATGAAAGTCAATAATGCTGTAACATATGCA